AGAAATTATTCATAAAAAATAGAGTTTTGTAATTCAATCTCCTTTCAAGGTTATCATATTCCAAATATATTCCTTTAATTTATACTTCGACTTTTTGAATCTATGTGAACTACTGTTAGCCACATTCTCTTCCTAGGTAAAACCAGCTGAAGGGACAGAATTTGAATAATCTAGATTCGTTTGAATTCCATTCGTTCTGGACCAAATGCCTATTCCAATTCCCCCGCAGCGTACAACCACCCAGACCCTCCCACCACCGAAATTGCCAGCTTAAATTCTCTGAAAAATTCAGAGTTCCTACAGTTTGACCCGATTCTGGATCATTTTACTCAGCGTCTCCCTCTCACGCACCAAAAAAAAAAAAGTGATGAATTATGTAAAATTATAAACCGAATTGGCGAAACCCATTACATCTCGAACAACTATTAAACATATATACCGAATCTTGATTTCACGATCCACTGGAGTTCACGATCATGAAAATTGACAATTAAACGATTGATCTCTCTCTCTCTAACACACGAAGGAAAAACTAAAAACTATGAATGAATTATCAAAAATTATAAGCAGAATTCATGTAACCCATAACAACTCAAAAAATTATATGACACATATACATCTTCTGGATTTCAAAATCATGAAAATTAAAAGATTGATAAATAACAAAATACTTGGCACCAAATTCTACGCGATATTAGCAAAAATAACACCCGATTCCAATTAATTAAAAAAAATATTATCAAGTTATCAAAAAGAAAAAAAGGAGAGAAATTTACCTCTCTCGACGTAAGCCATGGTAGCGACGACTTCTCTCTCCAGTCTCCCTCTATACTTCTCAAGCCTTAAATAAAGGCAAGGTAATAATCAGATACGGTTCACATGCTTCCTGGGTTCTATATTTCTGATGTGTCCGATTATAACTGGACAATGGAAATAGCAGAGCGTGAGAAGAACCAATAACATAATCCCACGTCAGCAGTCGGTGGTACGTTGCTTAGGTGCGGGTTTTTATTCTTTGATTGATTTTTATGCAAATATTTTTAGAAACTTGAAAAATTATAAATCAAAAGATGAGTGGATCCGTTTGATTGCAAAGGTGAAAAATGGGTAGAAAGAAAATGTTTTATAGGGAATTGATTTTCTTAAAAAATATTTTACTGAGAATTGTAATTAATTGTGTTTGATTTGTATAATTTTTCATGGAAAATGTTGAAAATTTGGTGTCCATTTGACTTCGTTTTTTATGGAATTTGTCCATTAAAATGATAATTTTTTCTACTATTGAGTCTAAATTTGTTCTCATTGTCAAAAAAAATTTTTGAAAAAAAAAATT